AGAACCCCAACCAGGTAACTATTATTTAGAATTTTTTTTATATTCTAACAATTATAAGAAGCATAATCAATAATATTTATATCTTTTATATTTATGTTGATTTTACTTACTAAAGAAATTTTAAAATAAATACTTGAGATGCAAGTATAGTTTTTAAGAAGTAGGATAATCCTTATTCTTTTAGAAGCAATTCAAAATTTATGATAATGTATATTTGTAATATTAATATTAATAAAAAAAATTAAAATTTATAAAGATCAAAGCACATAAGACAAAAGAAAAAAAATGTGAAATGGCATGACTATGGTATTTCTTATTTTACTTGCATACAAATAAAAACTAAAACAAAAATGTATTTCTATCTACCTTAGCAATTTTTCTATCTCAAGATAGACTTAAAATATAACAAAACTAATATAATGTTTTCAGAGTTTTCAAGAACGAAAATATTGACTTTAAAATTGCTAATAAAATCAAAGACTTGCATTGAAACAACTTTAATTTCAACAATTGTTGATTTCATAGAAAAAAGATTAAATGTTTAAAAAATAATTAATCTTTAAAATTAAAATATGACAACATGGTTAAAAGAAAAATTCAAAATTACAAATATGGTTGCCCTTGCAATGTATTAAATTAATTCATTTCAATGTCTGTATAGGCTTTATCACAAAACAACATCAAGATCCCTTGTATTATTCACTTGGAAATGCTCACATATGCTCTCACATGCAACAATCCAAGTCTTCAACCTCTTTACCCTTGCAAACTTCATCTTGTCTGAATAAAGGACAATGGAAAATGACAAAATTTCATGATAAACAAAATTTTGCTTACTCCTTCATGACACAGGTTACTGAACCTACCATTAAGAAAGACATACTCTCTAGTGTTGATTCTCACTATTGGAAGACAGCAATGAATCAAAAATATCAATCCTTAATCCAAAATTCAACTTGAAAATTACTTGACTTATCCCTTGATTGATCTATTATCAGCACCAAATGGCTTTTTCAACAAAAATATAACTAAGATGATACTCTTGCTTGTTACAAAGCAAAACTGATAGTAAGAGGATTTCTCCAACAAGCCAACATTAACTATGATGAAACATATTCACCAATCATCAAAACAACCTCACTTTGACTCTTACTAGCACTTGCTACTCTTCATGATTACCACATCTATCAAATGGATGTCACTACTACATTCCTCCATGGCATTTTAAAAGAAGTTACTTACTTCTTACAATTTGGAGGCTTCATCTAACTTGGAAATGAACATAAAGTTTGTCAATTCTTAAAGTCTACTTATGGATTCAAGCAATGTGCACTAGTTTAGTATGAAGTCATTGATTCATTTTTATTAGCTCAAGGTTTTCTTCAATATAAATCTGACACCAATGTCTACATCAAACGCTATAAGACTTTGTTAATATTCCTAGGATTATACATTGATGACTTTTTGCAACAAAGACCATACTCTATCAACTTTTTTCAATGAAAAATAATAATGATATCAAATATATCTTAAGTGTACAAATTTACAAAGACCGCACACAAAGAACCTTAACTTTATTTCAAAACAATAAATTATATATTTTTGATATATTAAATATATTCAACATGCCACACAATAATCCATAACTTAAATCATAGGTCAACTGTG